TAAACTGGGCACGGATCAAGTTTGTAAATGTGACAAGGGAAACAATGGCGGACCGCCCGCTTCAGGCCCCGCTGACAAAGGCCTCCCCAGTGTGGTGAAGTGCACAGGTGTTGAGACGCTGACCCAGGAACGAATTGCCCGGACGGCAACGCGTATCGCTACCTTGGGGAAGAAGGTCGTCGATGAAAGTGCGGCTTCGGGGTGGAAATCGGTATGGGCTGTAAGGAATATGACGGCTTCTGACTCACGTCCTAGGATCGAATTCGACGGTTGCAATTTCTATATGACGTTCGAGCAAATTCGTAAACAGTATGGCGGAAATTGCTCTCTTATATAAGGTTACCGGACGCGGTGATTGACTAGGCGACAAGGCCGACGCAGATAGCTGATGAATAACTAGAGAGACAGATCCGTGGCCTCTTCCTCATTTGCGTGTGCGAGCGAGTAGAGCACGAAACAGAGGCTCGCTTCAAGGCAGTGAGAGCGAAGGGAAGTGGATTAGGGAAGGTGACTCGATTTAGCAAGGGAACCCAATCAGGTACGATCGGCATTTGCAGTAAGATGGATAAAATATGGACTGTCTTGAGCCGCGAATGCAAATTCTGCCCTCCAACTTGCGGAACGATATCTCTAAAGGGAGTTATGGACCATTTAATCTTAGCTCGTTTGGCTCAAGTCCGAGAAGGCATATTGCATGCCGTCCAAGCCGCCGATGGCCTAGTGATAAGTTGCAGCTTCAGAGACACGAAGTCGATTCCGAATCTTGGCTATCGAAATGTTTTGCTTTTCATTCAAAACACTTGGTATGAGCCCTCTCCGAAATTTCTATTTGAGCCATTTCGCTTAATTTTTGTTACCCTAAAATCCATAGCATAAGAGCGGGTTAATTTACCAGGTGAAAAAATGAATTGGAATGAAATTGAAATTGAATGCATCACCCCTCAACTTGTATGGATGGAGTAGAATAAAAATCGCGAGAAGTTTAGAAAGAAGGCTCTCGCCCCTCAACTCTAAACCGCCGCCCACTTAATAAACAATTCATAATAGGAAAATAGCGATTTTAACAGAATTTCTGCCGGAATTCTCTCTACCGAAATAATTTGATCTCTAGATGGAAAGAGCCCATTCGATCAGTAAAATGTCGCATAGGCTAAGAGCCGGTTTAATTTACCGGTAAAAAATGATTTTTCGAAAAACATTTTTAAAATTTTATTCACAATCAATTTCATTTCAAAATCTTCAACATTTCAACGCTTGGTTATTTGTATCGTTCGGGCTCTCTTCGTTGCTGGCATGTCTTGAATAGTTTTGTCGGATCAACACGCTACGTTTCTTATCATTGCTTCAGTGACTTCAAAAATGACGAGCCGCCTGCCACAGGGTTCGGCATGCCAAATCAAGGCTTCACGATATTGACGGCGTCTGCTTGAAACCGCTGCTATACGATTTCGACGTTTCAATAGCAGGTGATACAGGTAGAAAGAGTATAGAAAACAGTAAGAATAAAGTAGAGTTGTAGGGCTGTTGAGATAATCATGAGCACACAACGCCTCAAAAAAACGTGATAGAAATGTCAGCTTTTCATTTTCTAGGCACAAACCGCTCTTATCTCTATGGACCGCTCTTATGTATGGGATTTTAGGTAATGCCAACGACAAGCGGGCGATTCCCATGCTAGGGTTCCTCTTAGAAAACGCTTTTTATTTGAGGATAACCACATGTCTACAAGCCGAATTTAGAATGAAATACGCATCCATATTCATTGTTCAGCGGGTCAAACTACCCTGGGGACAAATTTCTAGCCGAATCTGAATATTTCCACTAACTTGGGAAATGTGTGCTGTTTCATGGGTAATCGCAAGCATAGGGGACTTATCTATCCGTTGGTGAATGGTCTCAAGATGGAACTACCTCGTGGTAAAGAGGACGATGACCGCAAACGGCAAGAATAAGTAAGGCCGGGTATGTCTTTGCGAAAAGGCCACAACCGGCATTAAGCAGGTAATTTCAGTTTGGAAAACGGCAGTCATACAAGTATGGTAGTCGTATTATCGCTTTGGCTATCAGTCAGCCACAGCTATTCATCACCCATTTTCTCGAAAAATGAGTTTAGGAACCTCGATTCGCGCTGGCGGGGTGACGTCTCTAGGGGTTATTTGACCCCCTGAACACGAATATGATACCTGTTTTGCGCAAAGAGCGCTGTGAGTTGCGCTACAGGTGCTAACGCTTTGGCGCTGGCGCGCCCGGAAGAAGAAAAGCAGTAGAGAAAAACCTCACAACTCCGCTCAGAGAATCGTTCCGCAAATTTTAAAGATGGTCTTGTGTTCACCGTGGCAAGGTGAGTACGATGTACATTTCGTTGCAAATGGCCGGGCTGAGATCAAATGGTCCGTAACTCCCTTCAGAGAGTCGCTCCGCAGAATCGGAGGGCAGATACGGATTCAGCTGCTCAAGACACGTCCATACGTATACACCTCATTGTAAATGGCCGGATCGACCTGTTGGGGTTCTCTTGTAAGAGTGGACGACGGTCGCTCGCCGCTGTTCCACTGATTAGGGATCCACCATACGATAGGAGATTTGGCAAGGCGTTAAGGGCGGGGTGGGCCCTAATGGTCGTCGCTAGGGCCGTTTTAGGGGCGCTGGGAGAATTCCCCATAACGTAATGACGCTACGAGCCCCAAAGAGTGCAGGATTGGCTTCTCTTGAGCACTGAACGTAGTGAGAACATGGCTCTAACAAGCTATTGACCAGATAACTTGGTTACGTGATCATACTCTTGTTACTTTAACCTACCCAATCCTTTGTCATTACTCATCATTGTTTCTTGCCAAAATCATCGACTTCCATGTTCTCCTCCCCTTACTGTTGAGGGTTGGAGGACTACCTTTTGCGACTTCCGTGCAGGGGCGTGTGCAAAACGGAATCTAAGCAGCCTCTTTGTTTCCAGCACTCCCCAGTATTTCTCATTTGTCCGTTTTTCTAACTGAGTTGATGGTTTTTCATTTCCAATAGTTTTCTTTTGAACATGACCTCTTTTCCAGCTGTCTTACTCTGCCAAAACAGGCGCAGTGTTACACGGCTTTTTTGATCCAGTTCACATGTTCATGGGTTTCGGCAACACAGCATACAAAAATGGACACTTAAAAGAAGAACTTATTGCAGAGTACTTGAAACTCGCTGATCATTTTGTTTTCTCGCCTGGTGGTGATAACAGAAACAACTATGCTAACGTTGAAGAAATTGTCAATCATGCAGTGGAAAAGGGGGTAAATTTTTATTGAGTAGTTTTGGTAGTTTTTTTCTTTAGAATTTGCCGTTCGATGTATTTCCACTCCCAATCGATATTTTGAGGTCGATGCTGTCTGGGCAGGATGGGGTCATGCTTCGGAAAACCCGGAGTTGCCGAAGCAATTAGCAGCTCGAGGGATTGTCTTTATTGGACCGCCCTGTAGTGCAATGTTTTCACTGGGTGATAAAATTGCTTCGACCATCATTGCGCAGGTTTGTTCTGGGACATAGCAAACAGTGAGAACAGTGATATCAGCGAATATTGAAAATCAGCAAATGCTAGAAGTGCTGTGTATTAAGACCAGTAAATCTCACAATATCCCGCCCTACACGACGTTTCCGAAAAAGCCTCCAAATAGAAAATGTGGTAATTACCAGTGCCAGCTTGCATGCCAACATCGAGAACTAAATTTCCAAAGCAACTCAACTTCAATTTTTTTCATTTTTTGAAAATTTCTCACTTGCACAATGTCCTAAAAGTATAGTTCCACTGCATGTTTTCCCACTGCCTCTCATTATTTTCGGTTAAAACTGTCTCATCGACATTACTTATCACATTTTTAACCTTATGGCGAGAGGACTGGTCTTTGTCGGACTTCGAAAAAGGGCATTACCGCAAAGGAGGCCAAGGACCTCCTTTGCGGTAATTTGCCGTCTAACCGTCAAATCGCAGGGGAGGTGAGCCGCAGTCACCATGTTATCAGTAACTTTGTCAGGGAACCCTCACGATATGGAATCAAGGAGAGCTCTGGACATCCTCCTTTGCTCTCGGGAAAAGCGCCGTACTTCGAGAGAAGCATCAAATTCCACAAGGTCGTGCCCGGAAATAAAGTCAACTTCGAGGCTTAACGTCTCGAAGGAGACTGTTCGGCGTGTTTTGAAAAACTCCTGAGTTCATCTACAGGGGGAATATGAGTTAGGCACTGTTTCTAGCAAAAATCCATCGCGAAAACCTAATTGGCTTCGCTCGAAGATGTTGCCGAACCGATTGGAATGAGGGTAGGCTGCGGTGCCCTCCTGTTTGTCTGTGTTGCTTTTTTAAGTTTTTTCTCGCCCTTTCTGATGAGAAAAAGTTTAACTGCGACGGCTCAAACGAAAACCGATTCCGCTGGCACGATCTGAGGAAAGACAAGCTTAGTTTTTCCGGGCGAAACTTCAGTGGATGTGACCTCCTGGTATGGACTGCCATCGCATCAATGGGACGTCTGAAACTGTGCTCCGTATGGATGAAAAATGAATTTTTCCGACTATGTAAACGTCGTGCGATGAGGTAGCTTCCTTACTGGGGAAGAGTTCGGCATTAAAGTCCTGTTTTCATGCAAGACAATGCACCAATTCATGTCAGCCGAAGCACTCGAGCGTGGTTCAGTCGTTATCGAATCGCTCTTTTGCCCTGGTCAGCGAATAGCCCTGACTTAAACCCAATGGAGAATATGTGGGGCTTCATGGTGGTAAGATCTATGCGAACAATGCACCATTCCACAACGTCCGTGAGCTCAAGTAGTCAGTAATTGATGCATGGCAGCGTGTCGAACGAAAACTGATTTAAAACTTCTATTCAAGCATAGACAACCGCATTTCCTCACTTATTCAAAGGAGTGGGGCCGCAATAGATTATAGAATTAACAATTCATTCATAGTTGTGCACTTCCTGTTCTATGAATCGATTTGTTTAGTGGAACTACACTTTTGGGACTGTGAAATTGAGAAATTTTCAAAAAATAAAGAAAATTGAAGTAGCTCTGGAAAGTTAGTTCTCGGTGTTGACATGCAAGTTGGCACTGGTGATTACCACATTTTCTATCTAAAGGCTTTTCGAAAACGTCGCGTAGGGCGGGATACTGTGAGATTTGTGATGGAACTATGCTTTTAGGACGCTGTGTATACAGTGCGTAACAAAAGTATGTGGACACCTCAAATTTTGTGTCCTGCAAAACTGCCTTTGAGATTTGCGCTATGAGACCTTTATTGCTGAATTCCTCATGAGCGAAAACATAGGAATGCACTACTTCTGAGCACTTTGTGAGTTACTGTGCAATTATTTGTTGTTTTGAAAAAGTTTCTTAATACAAAAGTATGTGGACACCTGAAGAAGTCCAAAGTTTGGCTCCAGATCTGCAATCCATTTTTATGGTCTCTAGTCCCCATTAACCTGTACTCATACCTCATCGTGGAAGTCCTCCCTACGAAGACGAACAAGCTCGGATTAGAGCTTTCAATGCTGCAGGGCACTCGAATAGAGAAATTGCAAGATAGCCTGGACTTTCGGCGACGTGCATTGGTATATAACTCCAGAATCCTGATGGCTACCACTCAGTACCTGTTCAGAGGCACCCACGATCTTTGTCCGCAAAAGACATCAGAAGAATGGCCTCAAACTCTCCGCTTTCTGTGGCACGGACCTATGCCGCGATGAATTTACCGGTCTCAAAAATGACAAAATGGCGCTCTATTTGATCAAATGAGCACATCACTCGAGAGATTATGAAGAAAGCTCCCTGTCTGACTGCCAGGCGCCAGCTGGCAACTGACTGAACTTTGCCCGTGCAAACATGGCGACGTCGTGGGACATGGTGCAGTTTCTTGAGATATTTGTAAAATCAGAAAGGCAACATCTTATGCGCATTTCTTCCTTAGGTTCACTTCAGTAATAAGAAAAAGTCAATCTCACGGTTCACATGGATATCAGCATCACTGGAAAGGCCTTTGTAGCGATCCATTGGTGTTCTAGACGAAACTGCGGAGGCGCCTCTTTGGTAGTACGGGGGTGGTTTTGGAAGCGGAAGAAAGTCGGAGCTTGCCTTCCCATCTTGCTGTATGAACAGTGGGGAATACCAAGGAGTGCTTGAGTCCAACCTCTTGCCTTTTTCTGAGCGGGCCACGACGCAGGACGAGGAAGAACCAACTTCTATTTTCCACGACACATTCATTTTCTTGTTAAGTATCCATATACTTCTGTTATTAAGAAACTTTCTCAAAACAATGATAATTGTTCAGTAGTCCACAAAGTGTTTAGAAGTAGTGATTCCTTGTTTTCGCTCATGAGGAATTCAACAATAAAGGTCTCATATCGTAAAATTCAAAGGCGACTTTGCAGGACAAAATTTGAGGTGTCCACATACTTTTGTTACGCATTGAATAGACAAGTATGAAGCATCATGCTTCAGACCTTAATAGGTATATATAATATATATTATAATATATATATATATATTTTTTTTTTATTTATTTATTTATTATTTATTTATATATGTAAGACGAGCTGACTCTGCTACTTTGTTCCTGAGCCTGACTTTGTTCTTTGTTTGCGTTGTCTAATATCCCAACTATTAGAACATCTCATTCAAGCACATGGAGATATATAGAGGAATGACAGCAAAGCAAATAAGCTGAGCTGTGGGGCTCTACAACATTTGAAACTGGTATATTTAGCCATGTATTCGTGAAATTCTGCAAAAATAGCGCAGAAGAAAAACTCGAGAAATGGGCAAGAATCCTGAAAGGTCGAAATGAGCGCTCAGATATCGGATAGGGGCTTACAAAGTGCGTGCTAAAAATGGTCCTGCGCCGGACCAGTAATTGCGTAGATGGTACTCGTAACTGAATGTGGAAGATCCAGTTCAGAAGTCCAAGGGGGGAAGAACGAAAAAACCGGCCGAAAAGGGCCACATAATGATCATGCTGCGCGAAATCGGGTGAATGAAGTGAAGTGTCGAAGATCTGATCACGGTGATGGGCTCTTGTCGAGCTTTTCCGCGAAACTGATCCTGCTCAAGCGCTAGCCGAGCTAAGCCCCAGTAGAAGCGATTCAATGCCTGCAGTTGCAATGTCCTCAGTCCAAGACGCCATTGTTGACTGTAAAAAGAGACGCCGGGCCTCACTGAAGTATGGATAGTGTACTCCGAGCCCAAATTCACAACTTGAATCGTCGGCTTTGAATGAATGAATGCAGATGGGGCGTGTTAAACCTCCAGAATAAAGTACTTTGTTGGAGCACGAGACGGCAATTGACAACAACTGACAATCCCACACAGGGTCTTTTACCCTGTGTGGGATTGTCAGTTGTTGACAAGAGAAGACCTATCACTGCCTGACACTAGACTGTAACCAACCTCTAATGTTATCACTTAAGAGAATGACCTCATGAGAGTTAATTAGCCTACGACAGCAATGAGCCGCCCTAATTATGTCATGAGGAGTTGCATGGGTCCAAACGGATGATCTCAGAGAGGCTGGGTTTCTGCGGTGTTGCCTTCGAGCTGCTCTATTATAGACGAAACCATCACTGTCGGTGTGTACTGCATGTTTTTCGACGATCAAATCGCCAATTTACTAAACCACAACGTACAAAAAAACTCTATTCATTTCTGATCACAATCCGCGCCCAAGTAAACTTATTATTGGCTTGCCTCTGAAATAAAATAACGAACCTGGGTTTAGTCATGAATACGATTATGCTTCAAATACCCGAAGGCTACGACAATTCGTTCATCCTGCAGCTGGCATTCAACATTATTTTATGTTTGCAATGTCATTTTTTGTTCAAAAAAGAAGAGTGCTGTGCAAACGCTCCCTTGACATTATTGAGTAGGTTATCGATGGATGCATTACTATGCTCTGAGGCATATTGACTTCCTCTCTCCGAATGACTAAATGTGCACATCGTCCTAATAATGTGTGTTTCCGTATAGTCGAAATGGTATCCAGGCTCCAGTCACTATCGACAACGCTCACTTTGCCTTATGTCAGTGAAGCTGATTACTCCGAACAGTGATATTTGAAATTTATCAGCCCGTAGACTTATTAATCTGTTAAAGCCTTTACTAATCCTCACGAGCCTTATTTGAGTATGGCACTACTTGTTCATTCGTCTATAGCGCCTCTGTCATTAAAGATTGACGGTTCAGGACAAGCTCACGCGCAAAGCTATTCTTCGTTTGTTTCAGCTTCCTTACTTAACAGGCCGGACTCTTCCTCTGTAACAAACTTTCGCTGAAAACCTCTTCACTACGAAGGAACGAACTCATATGACATGCGTATATGTCAACAATAATTCTAAACTGTCAATAGTATAAGTCGGTGGCAGCGATTCTATCCAATGTAACCGCAGTCTAATCACCAGAAATATATGAAGTTATTTACGGGCACTCGCATCGATCCAGTGTTCTTCGGTTAATAGAGCTTCAATTTACATTCGCTTAGACAAAATAAACGCTCCAATCTCACCCGAT